CATTGTCTACATCATTGACCTATTAAGTATTAACGAACACTATAAGAATGGTCACTAGACCACCAATACAATTATAATGCCCAGTTCTGCCGTTTTCTGACAAAAGTGCTTAAGTAACATTTTGGAAATTTCGGGTTTTTTGGTCTAACTTTTGTTTTTGGGTCAAGAACTATCCCTGAGGACCATTGGATACATTCACCGACCCCCCGAAACCCCCTTTTTGGAACCCCCTAAAATGCAAAAAATGGTCATTTTTCTGAGAAAAGTGCTTAAGTAACATTTTGGAAAACGGGTGCCGTTTATTTCAAAAATGGTGCCATTTCGGGAACTGAAAATGGTGGCATTGTTTTCTACGTCCAAAACTGGCCTAGTGACAGCAATTTGGTGATCGTGGGTCCTTTGGCCTGGGAGAAAACAATTTATGTCACTTAAGCACTTTTGTGAAAACGGGCTCGTTTTCTCACAAAAGTGCTTAAGTGCCATTATACGTTTAATTAAATGTTGATTCTGCCAACTGAAACTATATAATCGGTACTAACAAATCTAAATTTTCACGACGGATCGATTGGTGATGGTCATAAACTTCAGAAACGCCAGCTTCGCCGTCAAAATTGCCGATTTGTCAATGCAGAAAATTTCAAAATACCTTACAAGACATTTTTGTGGCGGACCAATTTGCGACGACCGAAATTTTGGCGGTCCGAAAATATGGCGAAATTGGACAAAAACCGTCACATTTCGGACGTCACAGAAAATAAGGGTATTTTTCATCATTTTGTTTTCTGACACAAAGGAAATTCAAAATTTTCTAAAAATCGGTAAAATCATGTTGAAACAAAATGAAACTTATAAATCGATTTCTTCATCTTCCTCTAAGGGGTCCGGCTCGACTCTTTCAGTTTCACTTATTGAGTTTGGTATTAAATTGTTTATCTTGACTTAGTAATAGTCTCTTATAAGACGTTTATGTTAGCACATATATGTAATTTATTGTAAATTTAAAACGTATTACTTGACATTAAATTCATCATGGAATATTGTGTTTATTTGTCCCACCATCATATCACTAACTTTTCAAGAACAAAATGAATCGATAAAGCCACAATTATTGGAATAAGCTAAAAATAATGCGACGGATTCTATTACGACGACCGAAATTTTGGCGGTCCGAAAATATGGCGAAATTTCGAGAAAACCGTCGCATTTCGTACGTTATAAAAAAGTCTTGTAAGGTATACGTCATAATTTGCTTTAACATTTTTTATTCTCTTATAAGTTGAGACTGGCGGGATTATCGACAGGCAAGGGAACATTACCAAAGAGATAGAAGCGATTTGCCTCACTGCTCCTTCTCTATTGATATGGAGAAAGTTCCTTTACTACTACACATGCCGGAGTACAAGGAGGCCATTTTTACAAGACGCCTTGTCACATTTGACGAGACCTTCGCGAGGCTGGGGTCAGACGGAGCTCCTTTAGCGATTCTTTGGAATGAGTTAATTTCAGGAAGGAAAGATGAGAATGTGTCCTCGACTTGGATAAGGGCAATAAAACATTTTGCCGCAGGCAAGATTGATGGTAGCAGGGAGATCATTTTTTGGGCAGACAATTGTTCTGCTCAAAACAAGTGTTGGACTTTATTTACTGCCCTATGTTCAATTTAAAACAGCCCAGATATTGACCTGGACAAGATAACGGTCAAGTATCTAGAGCCAGGGCACACCTTTATGAGTGCAGACTCATTCCACCATAAAGTGGAGTTGTGCATTAAAGTTAAACAATCAAGTCAACTTCATGATTATAAGGACTTTGTTCAGGCAGTTGAACAGGTGGGTACTGCGATAAGCATGAACTGCACAGACTTTGAATCTTGGCCAAGGTACTACGGAACAAGCAACCGTTTTAAAACTGAGAGACCTCTCTTAAAAGATGTTAAAGTTGTAAGTTTCCAGCGTGGGTCTGTAGAAATGGAATGGAAAACAAATCATGAGGAGGTTTCCTTTCATTTCACTCCATTTCTCAGACAAAAAGACGAGAGACTCATTTCCATCTAGGTTGCAAAATAGCTTTCGCCCAGGAAGAGCCCCGGGGGATAGCTACTCCCAAAAAACAAGACATTATACGTAAACTGTGCAGGCTTATGGCCCCGAGTAGTAGGGTATTATGGATGAACTTGCCTGATAGTACAGATATAACAGATCTTAATCGAGTGTTTGACTAAAAATCATCTATTTCTTGTATTATTTACCATTTATTTATGTACAGTATTACTTACAATTAAATGTTACATTTTTATACGCTTGTTTTTCTTTGCCTCGCGTTACGATATCAATAATTCGCAAACCATTGGTCTTTATGAAGAAAGCCTCATCTGAGTTCTTAATTTAATTTCTAAAGAAAGAAACTTATTTATTATTATCCCGTACTTTCACCAATCACCTCTTCGTTGAAATGCTGTTAGAATTCCGACTATTTTTTAATCCGCTGGGGAGAAGGGAGTGTTTTTGTGTTCTTAAACCACCACCAATCAATTTGTCGTAAAATTTTAGGTCAGAATGATCGCAGATAAAGTTCCTACTAATGTGGCTGTACTTAAGCACTTTTCTCAGAAAACGAAATTTTCAAATTTTCTGTTTCAGCGTGTCCCCTTTTTACAACCAATGTTTTATCACAACAGTTTAAGGCTAATTTTTTTCCCTACTCTTGCCGAAGGCAAAAAGATCGTAGGGAATAAGTAATCGGGTTTGGATATATGAGGTGGCCCGACGGTCCTACGTTGATGACAAAAGTCTGCTCCTTCGCAATATAGACCACTCCCCTATAATTATGTGTATAAAAGGAGTCTATTTTGTGCGCGCGACGCCGGTTATGAGTTAATTAATTACAGGCATAGCAACGAGTTTTTGGTGCTTGACGACTGTTACAAACGGATTATATATAATCATCAATATAAGTGTTATTTTGGTGAAACAAGCTTAATAAATTACCGAGTGATAAAATTCAGCAAGTCAAAACAAATAGAATTATGATATCAGCTGACTCGTGGCTGTGGGCTGATTATTTAACAGTTCATCGACACTGAATGGTAGAAAGCATTGGAATACATAGTTGAGAATAGAAGTTACTTTACAGTTACATTCAAGAAGCAACTGTAATACTGTAATATCAAGATTGCGGTATGCTTTTAAAGAATCCTATATCAAATAAAAGGCTTGATAAGTCGATGGTGCTGTGATGTGTCGAGTAAGCATAATATAACATATAAAAATGTATTAGTTTATGTTAGATACAAATAATAACTAAGACGAAACAGCATATTTTATTACAGTCAATAAGTTGGCATACGATGCAGTTATATGACGTGACATGATATGCATATCGTTATTGTTAACACGAAACAAAACCGCGCAAAGTATGAAATGATCTACAACCAAACCACATACAGATCACAAATAAACGGCGACACCTCAGATGCGCGCAGGATTTTTCAAGTTCTGTACGCCTAATATAATATAAACGATTATTACATCATACATTGTACATGCGCCAAACACCACTCTGGGATACAATAAAGTAGAACAATTAAATTGTATGCAGTAGGGAAATTTGATCGTGCGTGGTGTTACCGCGGCGAAATTCTTGTTTGTTTTACTTTCGATGACCAATGGTTTGAACGGGTCATTTTCATCAGAACATGGAGCTTTTTTCTGATGTGGCTGTACTTAAGCACTTTTCTCAGAAAACGAAATTTCAAATTTTCTATTTCAGCGTGTCCCCTATTTACAACCAATGTTTCATCGCAACAGTTTTAGGCTAATTTTTCGTTTTACTTTCGATGACCAATGGTTTGAACGGGTCATTTTCATCAGAACATGTAGTATTTGTCGATGTGACTGTACTTAAGCACTTTTCTAAGAAATTCAAACTATAATTTGTGATTTTGAGGCACTTTCTGAGAAGTTAGGATGATGAAACCTTGTCATAAGTCTCAAAAGTCGACCAAGTACCTTAGAAACATATTGGGTGCAGTTTAAATTGGACAGTAGCTAGCCCAGAGCAATTACAGAATTGAAATCTTTAAAGTCAATTTGCACAAAAAGAACCTTGTGTTACTTAAGCACTTTTGTCAGAAAACGGCAGAGTTAGGGTTTTAACGTATCAGCTTTCGAAATTCAGTCTGTTCACCGAACAGCATAAACGAAGATTGATTTCGAACTTATGGCAATTTTCAGGAATATTGGAAAAGCTGGTCGTAAATGGTCGTTATTTCAGTCTGCGTTGTGGTAAAAATAATTGCGTACGATTTCTTGCAAATTTAAGGTTTTAACGGATGAAAATACAAAACGAAAGGGCTTGTTGAATGTTAATGCAAATATCAGCCGATTTGAAATATGAGTTCCGCTAGTTCCATGTACTTATAATTGTTGAAGGCAATATAAATGTGAAAGGAGTTGATACATCATGCATGCAGCTGTAATTCCAATAACCGTTAACCAACTATCGAATGCATTTGTAGAAATCAAAGTTCAAACGACGATTTCGGATTTCCCATTATTATAGTCATGAATAATTAGAAATAGAATGTGCATTGTGCTTAATACTTTAATACAAAAGATGGGCATATCGAATGATACGTACGGACGACACGAATTGTAGACGAAACAGTTTCAGCGCAGTCCGCGAAACCAATGAAGAAATGAGTAGAGCTCGCACATGGTGCAGATGTACGTGATATGTTGATATGAACGCGACGACTGTGATCGATTACGCGCCAAATGGACGTAACGTCGCGCGCGTACGTTACGTACGTACGCGCGTGCGTCGCGTGACTGACGTCAGGATGCGCGCGATCGGTCATAGAGTAAAATACTAAGCGTCTTCCATTTATGGTTCGAAATGTACAACCGAATGGTGAATCGTTGCGTGGCTTCTTCATCATTAATTTGTATGATTCCAGGAACCATCAACCAACCAGGATGTTGATAAATTAAACGCGTTAATTACTTAAGAGCTTTTGAGAAATCATGGCAACGTTTACATGAACATAAAAGAATAATCATGCAATATACTAGGTTCTACTAGTTTTCTCTTTCCTGGTGACAAAAGCTTAAATGTATTCAAGTCGGTGAATAAATAAGAAGACCCCAGTTTAAAATTGTTAAGTACCAAAAGCTTAGTCAAAACTGATGCAACCCGAAATTATAAAAACATTTTTAATTAATTTAAACCAAAAAAGGTTATAATAATGGTAAACATTAATCTGTTCTGTTAGTAACAATAAATATCTAAAACGGATGATCAATAGGCAGACTCTTCCAGAGTTATTGCTTAAAGTGAACAGAAATATCTTCGAATACTTTCTCGGGCGACTGCATTGCGTCAACTGATCGCAGGATACCCTTCTTTTCGTAGAACCTGTAATTATAACAGTTAGATATTCAAGCCAAACCAAGTCTAACGACTAAACCAAGTCTAACGACTAAAAATACCAAGTCATTGAACAATCTTGAAATACATTTGATTTTATTTATCAACCACAAAACCACGTGAAGTCATCACAACACCACATGACGTCACCACGACACCACGTGATGTCATCACAACACCACGTGACGTCATCACAACACCACGTGACGTCATCACAAATAACAAAACATCTGAACTCACGATATCAAGGGGGCGGTTTGCTCGTGATAAATATCTAGTCTTCGCGATAAAACTGTTGGGTTATCATCCGGCCTTTTCATCAGAGGCTCCCCAGTGACATCATCGGTCATTTCAACCTTTGGTGGGGCGAAAACTGTGGGGTAAATAAATTAACGGCTCTGTGTTTATTTGAAGAAAGTGCTCTACTAATATTATTAAGGATTGAAGTCATTTCTGTGGTGCAAAGATACGGTGAATATCTTGAAATAGGGGAATTCCGGTGTAAACTGTAATTCTTTAGACTTCGCGAAACAAACCTTCGTGATAAGTTCTGCCGCTCGATTGGTGGATCATCCTTCCTGATATACGTTCTACCAGAATATCATCTTTAACCTGAGGTAAATGTAACTTGTTAGCTCTTGAAAACTATTGGTTGAGCTGTTAAGTTTGCCCGTGTAATTATAGTGACATGATACCGGGGGGGGGGGGGGGGTACCACTGTCCATTTTGTCCATTTTGTCTTTTTTTTACATTTTTTTGTGAAGGACAGTGTTTTGGGGACAAAATGGACAATACTAGGGAAAAAAGGGACAAAAGGGACAAAAATTTTGGACAAATGAGACAAAAAATTAGACAAGCTCAAATGTAGAGAATGTATATATTCTACTCGACATCAACAATTTAGATTTTCATGTCAGTGTTTTGCTGTACTTTGAATCAACTGAAACCACTGAAGGGACTGAAATAAGCAGAATTCATCAACGGCATCACATAAATAAATGTGTACACGGTTCAGTCAATATTTCATTAATCCCATTAATCAAGTGGTGATATCAAATTCAGCTCAAACGTCAAATGTGAATCAGCGAGCAGGCATATCGGACTAGACCAAGTTGTCTTGAACAGTGAGTACACTAAGGCTGATATATAATCAAGATTGACTTTACTGTTCTGTCTGAATTTACCCAACTTATTAGCTTGTTAGAACTGTGCCTGAACTTATTTTTTGCATTTCAACGGATAATTGACCTTATTTTCTTTACTGTCCATTTTGTCCCTATCTATTTGTCTCGTTTGTCCCTGTCATTTTTGTCCATTTCGTCCATTTTGTCCATTTTGTCCATTTTTCCTGTCTTTTTGTCCATTTTGTCCTTTTTGTCCCCGCCTTTTTTGTCTTTTTTTTCTTTTTTGTCCCTATTATCTTTTTTTGTCCCTTTTGTCCCTCTTGTCCCTTTTGTCCCTTTTGTCTTTGTCTTCTTTCAGTTTTTTTTGTGCAGGGATAAAATGGACAGTGGTACACCCCCGCCCCCCCCCCCTCCCCGATACCTAGTTCAGAGATATTTTAATATCATTAAACTTCGTTATAGTAGTAGTATCACGAACATATCAAATTAGTATGGCAAATTTGATTTTCTTGGAAAATTCGTGTAATTTTGATGAATCATTCTTTCTGGAGAGTTAAACAGGAACGGTGTAGAAATCATGATGAATCCAGGAAATATCATATTATGCTGTGTAAGTGTGTATAATACATAGACAAAGGAAGTCACATTTCATGTTATATATATCAGTAATCGACCGGGATTCCCGGCGCCGTGAAATCCCGGCACCGGGGGAGCTATTTCTTCCCGGCCCCGGCCCCGGCCGATTTTCAATTTTCGCCGGGAATTTGGCCGGGAATTTTTGATCGAAATCGGCCTAAAACTTTCATATAAATCTTAAAATGGATTTTCAATTTTGAAAGGATGATGTCCAGAGTGCCAACTTTCAAGAGCAGTCCTTTGTTTTTGTAACCTCTGGCCGTGGATTTATTAAATTCACGGTCCCGGCCCCGGCCAAATTCCAGAACGGCCAATTCCCGGCCCCGGCAATATTTGGACATTCCCGGCCCCGGCCCCGGCCAAATCCTACCCCCGGTCGTTTACTGATATATATTTATACTTGCAGAAGTCTTCTATTGAATTTGTACATACTTTGAATCATTAAAACCGTTAAAACCTTGACGTTAAGCGTGGAAGTGAAATTAAAAACTGGGACAAAGAGGTTGAAAAAAAAGTAGGTTGGAAACGGTATTATTTACATGAATGATGAGAATCACATACTTGCATCAATCGTTATCTGAAGCAGATGCATTTGAAACATTTTTGCTTTAACTACCAAAGTTTTTAAATGAAACGAAAATTCAAACCTTAAATTCGACAACATTGTTGAGGGGCTCATCTTGTCCAACCAAATATTCGTCTAATTTCTCTGCCTGAACCAAGTTTCTTGGAAATCCGTCGAGCATGAAACCCAATCTGTAGAGTGGTTGTTTGGTAAAATGTATTCGTTACGGTTATTACTTGTAATTGTATGTAATATGTAACATATGTAATATATTACACAATATGCATCATTGCATATTGTGTAATTCATCCTTTGTGTGGTCTCTCTTTCTCTGTCTCTCTCTCTCTCTCTCTCTCTCTCTCTCTCTCTCTCTCTCTCTCTCTCTCTCTCTCTCTCTCTCTCTCTCTCTCTCTCTCTCTCTCTCTCTCTCTCTCTCTCTCTCTCTCTCTCTCTCTCTCTCTCTCTCTCTCTCTCTCTCTCTCTCTCTCTCTCTCTCTCTCTCTCTCTCTCTCTCTCTCTCTCTCTCTCTCTCTCTCTCTCTCTCTCTCTCTCTCTCTCTCTCTCATGGGAAGTGTATCAATATTGTCATTTGATAGTTGATTAATTTAGTTACAACAAATTTGATGTTAATTGACCTGACATATTGAACACATTTAAATATCGTATGATAATGTAAGAAAGATCCTATTTGTGTAACTGCTTATCAAAACAAATTCCATTAAATGGTAAAATATAAGGTATTGAGAGTAATTGAGAGTAATTCGATCATTTACCAGTGTAAAACAAGGTATGGATTACGCTGGGCTAAATTTAATATTGCAAACGTGTTATTTGCTAGCTCATATTAATTAAAAAGTTTTTTTCTTACATCACACGACATTCTTTAAACTCACTTGCAAGCCTCGCTCTGTAGGTTAGCTTCAATGATCTCAATAACAAGACTGTCAGTAACGAGCTCACCAGAACTTAGAGTATTGGCGACCTGAATAATTAGATTTAAACATTACGTCTTATCAATAGTTATAAGTATCGTGCAGCTAGCACAGTGATAAATTATTTAAAATATCATGCTAAAATGCACCCTTGAAGCTCAAAAGGGAAGGCTGAGGGACATGTATCATCTAATATTGTATCATCTAATGCAACCTTTCCATGGGGGATGTAAAGTGAATATTTGAAGTTGTATCTTACAAAATAATACCGTCCTCGCTCTTTACTTCAACAAAATTACACTTGTGAAACTACAGATTACATACATTAAAACTTGTTTAAATTATCATTTTTAGTTAAAATGTTGCAACATTGATACACAGTTTAAGGGGGCATACCCCAAATCTGTCCAGACCTAATGACCTCATAGGCAGTTCAGTGACCTTCTAGCGCACCGTTTCTACACAAAAATAAATTATTTTGAGAATACCTATTTTTGTAATCGAGCATTTCCTGGTTAAGAGTGCAATTTTCGGAAAAAATTATTTTGTGGTTGAGACGCTATAAGTTAATCATTTCTTGCGGTATCAGGTTGAAATTTTGTTCGCCGTTTACTCACATCTATGTCAAGATGTGTGTAAAATCTTGATATCGTATCTAAAAAGGCTGGTGTGTTATGAATTTTTAAAGTCAAAAAGCTAAAATTGTCCTTTTCAGGCTTATTTTAACAAAAAGTCAGTCAGGGAAGATCGGATTATTTGATGCTTGACATCAAATTGTTCTCTGAGTTCTGGCGCAGTTTCTGATGCCCTCAAAAATTTTTTTACTCATTTATCTTCTGATCTATTGGACCTCAAAGCCAAACAACAAATTTAGGCACATTTTTCGTTTTTAATATATTTACTGATTTTTCTAAAATTTTGATAGGAATGTGCTAGTGACTTTTTGAAGGGTGCAAAATAACCGCAACTAGCACATTTATATATGAGTTATGAACAACAAAACACCCTAAAATGCTTCCCTTTGAAGTTATGGGAGAAAATGTGATTTTGATCTGCAAAGCCAAAAAATCACATTTTCTCCCATAACTTCAAAGGGAAGCATTTTAGGGTGTTTTGTTGTTCATAACTCATATATAAATGTGCTAGTTGCGGTTATTTTTCACCCTTCAAAAAGTCACTAGCACATTCCTATCAAAATTTTAGAAAAATCAGTAAATATTAAAAACGAAAAATGTGCCTAAATTTGTTGTTTGGCTTTGAGGTCCAATAGATCAGAAGATAAATGAGTAAAAACATTTTTGAGGGCATCAAAAACTGCGCCAGAATTCAGAGAACAATTTGATGTCAAGCATCAAATAATCCGATCTTCCCTGACTGACTTTTTGTTAAAATAAGCCTGAAAAGGACAATTTTAGCTTTTTGACTTTAAAAATTCATAACACACCAGCCTTTTAGATACGATATCAAGATTTTACACACATCTTGACATAGATGTGAATAAACGGCGAGCAAAATTTCAACCTGATACCGCAAGAAATGATTAACTTATAGCGTCTCAACCACAAAATAATTTTTTCCGAAAATTGCACTCTTAACCAGGAAATGCTCGATTACAAAAATAGGTATTCTCAAAATAATTTTTTTGGAGTGGAAACGGTGCGCTAGAAGGTCACTAAACTGCCTATGAGGTCATTTGGTCTGGACGGCACAAACCACTGTTTTGGGGTATGCCCCCTTAAGGCCAGAGGGGGGGGGGGGTAAATTTTGATCCAGTTTTTTTCTTCTTGTCCGTCTCCAGCAGCTATTATCAAATACATGAAAACTAGAAAAGTGCCATTTACCCCCCCCCCCCCCCCCCCCCCCCTCTGGCCTTAAATTACAAATTATTACCTTTTTTCCAAGAGGTGAATCTTCTTTGGCGATGGCACGTAACATATCACCAGTACTAAGATGACAGATTCCAAAGTTTTCCTTCAAGTTGATAGCCTGGGTCCCTGAATTGTTAATCAAGAGTTGGATTGAGGACTGAAATGGCAATTCCCATGTGATAAGTACATTCATTGTTCTCTTATTCTCTTCAGAAAATACGTAGGTTTTCCCATCATTAAACTTTAACAGAGCAGAAGTCTATATTTATTACAACAAACTGTTACATCGAATTACCTTTGCCAGCACCAGGAGGTCCCAGAAGAATAGACCTGATAGATCTCCTTTGCTCTGCTTCTCCAGAAAGATAGCGCTTTACTGCACCAACAAACGTTGCCATGATAATCTAGCAATATTATTCAAACATTATTATAACCATAAAGTAACGGGCTAAGTAGCAAGCAAGTTATATATACTTAAACACGATTATATGAAAATCAATTTTTTTTTCCTGTGTATTATTTTCTTAACTTCAAGCACAAATCACAATTTTGTGCTACTGCTAGTACTGTCAAATTATAACAAAATAAATGAATATATAATATAAATTATAGATATTCATTAGGTATCATACCCTCTCTGCTTCTTCCTTAACATTTACTAAGCTGAGATGATAACAAAAACGTAAATTGTCTTGTCCTAATTATCCTATCTGGTTAAAAAGCTATCACTCAATTGTTCGATGGGACAATGTACCAACTTTCATTCGATTTATTCTCTATTGAGCTATTAACAAATCAACAGACTCGACTGGTATCAAAGCTTTGTTTGGGAATAGAACCTTCAGTACCTCAATTGTGTCTTGTGCCATCCTCGTGACCTTGCTAGATGGTCATTCAAGAAAAATTCAGTCAAAACAGTGAAATATGGGGCGCAGAAGCTGAAATTCGAAAATTTCCTACCCGTAGGACATTTTCAAAACCGCGAAATTTAAGTCAAGGAGACGGCAGAAATGCTTCTCTTCAAAAATCCTCCAAAATCTCTTCTTACATATTGCAATAGATTACTTGCAATAGATTACTATGGTCGCCTTGAAAGCACTGAAAACAAACTACTCTGTGCTGCATTTCACGAGCAAATCATGCTGTGCCTTCCTTGGTATACCAACACCTCAAAGCTTCTCACCAAATACAACTTTTTTTATGAAAATCTTTTCAAAATTTACATACAATATAACATGTGGCGCAAAATAAAATCAAAATATAACTGATTGCGATCTCTAAAGGACAGATGTATGTAAATTTCAAAGGGAAACCAGAACGCAGTAAAATTGTAGTCGAAACCACACCGCACAAGCCTAGTCCCTGGTAAATGAAAATCAATCAAATAATATGTTGATAAAAAATCATATCCCATCAGTCCTTCTCGGAGCTTACGATCTTATTGTTCCTTATAACATGAACTCGCTGAGGCTCCAATTCCCGTTTCTGCTTAACTTCAAGAACTAACTTCCTGAAGGCAGCTCTCTGCTCGGCTGATCGGTCGGGGCTGATGTACACTGAGTCATACCCCTCCACTTCTCTTAGTTTTCTCGCTTTGCTCAACACTCGCCGCACATGATCTGAGCCGCTGAGGGTGAACTTGATAGGTTTAACGGCTGGTCCTCCATCTGATACAGTTCTCCCCATCCTACAGCAAGAAACGATTCGAGGTTTCTCATCTATGTTTTCTAGTACCTCAAGCACTCTCTTTTCCACTCTTTTCCACTCTTTTCTGGTAGACCGTAGATGACCAGATTTTGACTACGATCCTTTTCCTCGGAGGCACTTTTCAGAGCACCTTTCATTTTCTTAGGCGCTCTAGCGCCTTGCTGCATGAATTCTTCACAACTGACGACCAGGCTTTGAGTTCAATTTTCACTGTCGTCTGAACAGAGGTCAAATCTTCACTTTTCTTCTCAAGCAATTGTCCTTGCAGTTTAATCACAGTGTTCTGATCTGCAATCTTTTCGTCCTTCAGTTGGTCGATTTCATCTTGTAGTTTGGTGGCTGAAAACAACAGCGGTGAACAATAACTGTCGAGAATGTCGATAAAAGTTTCCATCCAATCACACAGTATAGCCTTGGTGATCTGAGGCTTGTTGAGCGTTTCTTTACGTAACACATTGGATTTCTGAACACCTGCCGCTTGACGCATATCGTTGAGTAGCATAATCTGAGCACCCAAAATCTGTTCAGCATACGCCATACATTGATCTGAATTTGAGTGTAGAGTAATTCATCACTATTTCATCGTCAAGATTCTCCAAGTATTTGTTAACCATGATGTACAATGTACACGCAGGGCCAGTTTAATATACACGAGTATATTATCTGCTACACAGTGAGAGCTGTTTAAACCGACGCAAAAGCAATTAACTGATAAGACAATACTTCAAAACTTCCCCCACCCATCTTCCTCAAAATTTAAGCTCTCCACCCAAATCAGTCATAATATGAGGGAAGAATTCGTGAATACCTGGAAATCTGCCAAGGCCTCCTCGCCAAGACTAGAAGTCTATAATTTAATTAAACATGATTTTGAACCAGAGGCATATCTACGAATGATGAAAATACCTGATGTTCAAAAAAGCTTGACAAGTTTTCGTATCAGCTGCCACAACCTCTACATCGAAAGGGGCAGATACGAAACCCCCCTTCTACCAAGAGAAGAACGTTGGTGCACTTACTGCTTTTTCAGCAAAGGGCTCAAGCCTATTGAGGACGAAAATCACGAATTAATTGACTGTTTGCCTCACTACTCAGTTAGGGAAAAATCCCACCCAAAACATCACTGACCTAGCCGGTCTGCTCTCCAACAAAACTCTAGATCCTACCAAATTTACTGCCACAGCAAGAGCAATCCGTTCAATTCTCTCTGTGAACGAACAATATACAGCCTTTTATAAGAGCCCAGATTTCATAATGCTATAGGACCTTAAAATAAAATTGAACCATACAAACTCGATTTCTTTTTGTTTTTAACTAGTAATATATAACATTTCTAAATTATTACACATTTGTAAATAATTAGAATTGTGTAACTTAAATTATTTCAGAATTACAACTATTTTGTTCTCAATAAAGTAGTTATCACTTTCGTATCCTTGCATCCTTGTATCCTTGTATCCTTGTAACCTTGCGTCCTATATTGATGATTTTCCGTTTATCAGAGCTTTCTTTAGGAATAAAATTTTTAGTACCTCAATCGTGTCTTGTGCCATCCTCAGTGACCTTGCTAGATGGTCTTTTTTTTATAAATTCAGTCTAAACAGTGAAATATGGGTTGTTAGTTCTGATCACATGTTTATTTACCTTTTATGTGATAAACTACATTTTACCAGTTTTAATACTTTCAACACTACTATATAACAAATAATTTGAGGTTTGACATGAGGAGAAACGACACGAAAACGAAATGTCAAGAAAAGTCCAGAGAAAACTGGTGCTACAGCACAAAAGGATGCAACTGAAGATGAAAAAGATCGTAGTTGTGAATGCAGAAGGTATATCGCAGAGGAGTTTTCATTAGCTTGTGCAACCTGTGATATGTACTGGCATTATTGCTGTGTTGGACTGACAGGTCTGACACAAGAAGAAGGCGACCATCTGTCTAACTGGCGTTGTCAGAATTGTTTTATATCACCTTACATAAAAAGCAAAAGGACTCAGACCTCGAACCCTGATAATGAAGAAACAAAAATACTACGGAATTTTATTAGGCAGGAACTTGAGGCCCTTACACCTTGTATCAGAGGGGTTGTTGAAAACGCAGTGAACGAGAACATTTCAACTAACTTTGAGTCTGAAAAAACTAAAGAAATATCAAATATAGTGAACCAGGCTTTCCAGTCCTTCGCTGATGTTACTGCAAATAGTCAGAAGAAAGTGATGGAAGAAATGAGCCTACAGCAAGCTTCACAAAGTGTTGTCAGTAAAGTTCAGACAAAGATGCACACTGATGCATATGAGCGAAATTTAAGGAAGCTCAATCTGTGTGTTTTGAATGTACCAGAGAGCAAGAAAGCTAACTCCAAGCTACGCCAGGAAGAGGACTCGAATTTCTGCAAGGAGACATTAAAGATTGAAAAAAGTGACTTTATCAGTTGCCATCGTGCAGGTAAAGTGGATCCAGATAAGCCAGACTCCTGTCGGCCATTAATCATCCAGACAGCTGACGAGGAGTCAGTTAACTTTTATTCCAACCATGGCAAGGGCTGGAGAGAGTCATCATACTGGATAAATCTGGATCTCTGCAGAGCAGACCGAGAGATCCGTTTTTTAGCCAGAGAAGAGAGGAAGAAGAGGCGGGAAGAAGCAGAGAAGAAAAAGACAGAGAAGAAGGTGGAGAAGAAGTAAATAGCAGTGACAAAGAATGTAGTCAGCCCATGAATATTTTTTATACTAATGCTAATGGACTATTTAATAAAATTGATGAACTAACACATGTATTCTATCAGTTTATAAATCCATTCATGTAATCTGCATTACAGAAACTCATTTTAATAGTGATATTTTAGATGCTGAAATTTTTATTGAAGGTTTTTGTATGTTTAGAAAAGACAGAGATTTTAAAATCGATAACTCCACTAGCAACATAAGTGGAGGTGGAGGTTCTATTATTTATATTTAAAACAGTTGTAATGCTCCATTAGTGAGCTCATTTTTAAAAGCACCAGACTCTTTAGCTATTAATGTCAATACCTCTGGTGGATTGATTAGTATTTGTTGTATTTATAGGTCTACTTCTTTGAATTTGGACCAGAACAATATGTTATTATCTTGCATCAAGAACATTATATCTAGTGAAAAGAATGTTTTTGAAACCATTACCATAGGAGATTTTAACCTACCTAATGTATCTTGGGAAACTGGTAGTGTAAATAGTGGTATTTCTACTAAGAATCAGGTTTTAATGATTCAACAAAAGTATATTGATATATTTTTTATTGTATTTTGTGCAAAGTGTATGAAAAGTTGGTGAGGGCACATTTACTAACATTTTTAGAAGAATGAATTTCAAAGCATCAGCATGGATTTGTGAAGGGTTAATCTTGTCTATCTAATCTCTTATATTTTAGACAAAGGTGCTCCTGTCGATCTTTTGTATTTTGATTTTAGTAAGGCTTTTGACACAGTCCCCCACTTTAGACTTCTATCTAAATTGGAGGGGTTTGGGGTCAAGGGAAAAGTTTTAGATGTTATAAAAAAATTTCTGACAGACAGAACCATGAGGGTTTGTGTAGAAGGACAATGGTCTGAGGTGAAACACGTGTTATCTGGTGTTCCCCAGGGGTCAGTATTAGGTCCTTTGCTATTTATTCTTTATTTTTTAATACTTTCAACACTACTAATACTTTCAACACTACTATATAACAAATA